AGAGAGAGAGAGAGAGAGAGAGAGAGAGAGAGAGCCCTTTCTATCTTCTCATAAAAGCAGCGATAGACTGCTTTCACCTCATTGATCATTTCCTATTAAAACTCTTGGAACATTTAGTTCATAAATCAATTTGCCAAAAGACAGCTTTCACTTTCTAAATTTTCATCCTGTTGCCATTAAGCATCACAACACAACATCTCCCTATAATGTTGACAACATGCAGGCCAGGAAGGTGTTTTGACCAAAGTTCCATGAAAAGTACTTTCCACTTATTTCCCAAAAGGGAGGCCAAAAATAAAAGTAAAAAATACAAAAACTAAAGTGGGTGGAACGGGGGGGGGGAGCATGGCATGAAGCACAGAAATGGAGGCCAAAAATAAAAACTACAAAAAACTACAGTGGGTGGAATGGGGGGAAGGGCATGGTTAAAAAGCATGAAACACAAAAGTAAAAGAAATCACTAGTGGTTGTACTCACTTTCTGCCATTTTCAGATGAGCGGTCATTTGCGATGGATCTTGTGTTGTGTAGTACGAGACATTATTGACAGCAACTACGGCATTGACCACCACTTCCTCATGATGTGCCACATCTTTATCCTCTGTAGGTGTGTGTGCGTGTGTGTGTGGAGGGGGGGGGAGTGGTGGGGGGTTGGAAAGGGGAAAAAAATTGCAAACGTTAATCTTTACCAAGTCTCACCTTGCTAAAGAATGTTTTACTAAAATACAGAAGACAAAGCTGTAAAGTTTCAACTCTTTTATAATTTCTGTTCTCATTTAAATGTAACTCAACTGGTTTTAATCTATGAACCATGGAAAGAAATCCTACACAGCTGAGAGGTCTTGAATGAGCTTATAAAGATAGGAAAGAATCAGCTATTAAAAGTTATAGTGATTCAGATGACATTTCGAGAAGTGAAACTTAGGGAGTTTTTTCACTTACATAATAGCGACATGGATGAATGTTGGCCATTGTTTCCTCAGATAAGTACACTACACCGGAGATAGATTTACATCTAGGATGGTAGTAAAAGAGGGCAACGTCATGTGTATGATCAATGTAGACAAGTGATGAAAAGGATTTAGAGAGAGGAAACTGATAAGCTGTTGACAGAGACTGGGAGGAGTTTCACTCATAATCCTTAAATGCTACTTTTCACTGGAACGACCCATCATCCTAATTAAAATTTTTTTAAAATAGATTAAAACAACGTGGGTGTTTTTTACACCCCTATCGATAAAATATAGACTATTTAGGAGGCGGGCTTTGACCCTGCCTGTCAGGGTCAACCAGGGCTGGGAGGAAAACATCCCAGCAGAAAGGAAGAGATCCTTGATAAAAATTCACCCAGCTCGGGAATTGAAAGTAGGTTTCCTGTGAGTGACAGTGGAGTACCTAACCATCACACCACAGACGCCGTACCTAGCATCGAAATCTATGTGAAAAGTTGTAAAATCTACATTCAGTTCACTAGTCTCACTAGGAAGACAAATTGACTTTTATACAGGCTTGACTTACCAACAACACTTATTAGCAATTCAACAAAATCAGGGTTGGCAGCAATGGCCGGTCCGACATCTTCGTTAACTGAAAGGTTCGCCAGAACTCGCATGACTTTAATGAGGACATCTTCCACTTTGTTGACTTCGGTCTCACTCTCTCCATCAACACCTCCATTCAGCTGTGATTCCTCTCCATCTCCACTAGCACTCGTCTTACCCTGCACGTTGATTGCACCAAGGGATGAGGGACAAAAGGGCAAGCAAAGGTAAAAATTTTGCATGGGATTTAAAAAGAAAAAAGATTTTTTGTACAGGTGGTCTTTATGGCATGTTTGACTGTATATTGATCCTGTAACAGGATTTGATTTACAATAACAAGCTCAAGACAGCTGGTGGCATCATCTCTCTCTCTCCCTCTCTCTCTGAAAAGCAGTATAGTTTAATTGACGCCCTCGGCTGTTCCTGTTACCAGTCTGTTTTGTTTTGTTTTAATAAGAGTTTCACAACACTTGCGACGCAATTAAGTTATATAACTGCCGAGGATTTGAGGTGTTACAAAAAGAGTGAACCACACTAGAGTGCTCACCAACCACCCATCTTACCTGTCTGTCCAGTTCACAGTAGGTCTTGAGAATGTTCAGCAAAGTCTCAATCGAGTCTATCTCTTGAAATAGTTTGAGACGAGCACTATCATTCTTTATAGTTAAATTTCCCAGCACAAAGCACAGTCGAACAACCAAATCCTGAGGAATAGGAAAAATAAAGACAAACAGAATGAATGGGCTACTGACAAACAGAGTGAAAGGGGGGGGGGGATGGAAGAGGGAGAGGGAGAAACCTGGTAAGATTCTAAGCTTTTGACCATAGTCATGTAAAGTTTTTTCCTCCCCGGCTGCCAGACTGTCAGAGTCGTGTAGCAGCGAGCAAAGACCTGACCACATCATCAGAAGCTTACAGGCGTACATACTGAAGCTACAGGACATGATAGACAAGTACGATCTCTTTGTGCTCGCATTTTGTGTACATTACGCCCCCCCCCCCTATCGATAAAGTGTAGGCCAGATAGGAGGCTGTTGAAAACGACCAAGACAAATTTCTCCCTCAGAGATATGAATAGAGATTGTCCTGATTTCACCATGATGCCTCACAAATGGTCGCTTTTAAGCTATTTTGAGAAAATCGAAGGTAAAGTTTTTGCCCCTTGTTTAGTCTCTATAAAAAACCCCAAGGAGAATTTTCTTTATAACCAAACAAATATACACGCCAATGAAACCAAACTTCTCCTATACGTAGGACAAGGCCCACTTTTGGTGTAGGTCTAGATTTCTGGAAAGCCCCGAAATCTGGGTTAGCCCGCTTGTCCTTAAAAGCGACCAAATGATCTAAGCTGCCTAC